TTTTGGAATGAGATGTTCAACGAGCAGGTATCCACATACTTTTGGTCATGTAGTGTTTAACAAAATATTGTTTATTAATTATGAAATTATGAAAAATATTAATAACATTCCACCCATGAGGCCACTGTGTCATTTGACTGCAGGAAACGGCTATAACCTAAGAGCTACCTGTTGTTTTAATGCAGTTTCACAATATAGTCTATTTTGACTTAACCCTCTATGGGAGCCACTGGCCATGCAGCCATGGGAAAGTAGAGACAGACAGCCAGCCAGACAAACAGACAGACAGACAGACCGAGTCTCAGGCATAAAACTGCTCTGTGCCTGCCTTCCATAAAGAACCATGTGTAAATAGGGCATTTCATTTGTTTTAAGCCCCAAACGCTTCAGACACATTGAAGAGATCAATCAAATACAGGAAATGACTTTCACAGCCTCCATAATGGTTTATTTGACATCCAGAACAAATCACACCTCTTCCTCCCAAAGTCCAAGCTATGTACAAAGAGTCGGATGACCTATAAACAAACTGTAATAACTGTGAATCTGAATAAGGAAGTGGGATACTATGCTCTCTGTATATGTGTGACATGGAAGGTTAGATATATCATTTTTAGGCAATTAAATCTAAATGTTATCACAATGCATATGATCTCATTAGGGGTCAGTTAAATAACAACCAATTATCAGCCATATTCAATATGTCAATTGAAATTAGATTGTATGTTTTGCTAAAGCATAATGTGAAAATATGTCGAGAACAATTATTTATTTGTATTGAGTCATGACAATATTTTTACATTTCCCAGACGCTCTTATACAGAGTGACTTACAGGAGCAATTAGGGTTAAGTGCCTTGCACACCAACAGATTTTTCACCTAGTCGGCTAGGGGATTCGACCCAGCGACCTTTCGAGTTAACCATAATTAGCGGACATTGGTGGCGTCGTTTGGATTTAATCAAACCATGAGGTTTTCTCCTTTAATAACAATTAAATAGCATTCTGCTCTGAAATGATATTCTATTCATAACTTACTTCGAAATATATCCTACTGTATGTGGATCATCTTGATGGATGCCATGTACCATGTTCTATACATAGTTGTGTCATTCTTTTTGATTGAATGATCTCACTACCAGCATAATCTAAACTCTAAAAATGCTCGAGAAATTGTCCAGTAATTTCGAGACAGAGTACCTACATAGCTTATCTTTGTCTTGTTTTTATCACCCATTTGTGAGATTAAATGGACACTCAAAAGGTAATGATAAAATGCTGTATTACATTTATCTAGTGGATAAAACAAAAGTATATCTTATTGTTGTTATTACAATTGTTGTAATAGCACAATAATAATAATCATAATCATAATCATAATAATAATAATAATTTCAAGGTCTGTATTATCAAATGTAATATTGACAGGATATCTAAAAAGTGATCGCATGGCGTTCTTGGCAACGATATGGGATTGAATAAGATTTCTACTTGCAATAAAAAAAATAGTTTAAATTAAAATATTAACTGCAACATTTTCGTTCAATTTCCGAGTACAGAAAAACATCTCCACTTGATCTAATCAATCTATTGAGACGCAATCGAGACAGAGGTGAATAATTAAGTACATGTCTGAATGCTACAAGGTAGACATGTTTTACAAATCGCTGATTGTTCCCCATTCATCATAAACTCTCACCTTTGATGACACTATTCAATTACACCACAGACAAAGCAGACTTCCTTTACGCCTTCAACACCATTCTTGAATAGCATACATTATTAGTAACCTAAAGGCGTTGTGTCTGTATTAAACCAATCAAATCTGATACGAATTTAGCTGATATGTTATTATGCCAAATCAATGATAGTATAACTTTTACCATCACATGAATAGGCCTATCGAGTATTCAAAACATTAGGAACACCTTCCTAATATTGAGTTGCACCCCGTTTTCCCCTCAGAACAGCCTCAATTCGTCTGGGCATGGACTCTACAAGGTGTCGAAAGCATTCCACAGGGACCCATTTTGACTCCAATGCTTCCCACAGTTGTGTCAAGTTGGCTGGATGTCCTTTGGGTGGTGGACCATTGTTGATACACACGGGAAACTGTTGAGCGTGTAAAACCCAGCAGCGTTGCAGTTCTTGACAAAACCCGGTGCGCCTGGCTCTTACTACCATACCCCGTTCAAAGACACTTAAATCTCTTCACCCTCTGAATGGCACACATACACAATCCATGTCTCAATTGTCTCAAGGCTTTAAAATAATTATTTAACCTGTCTCCTACCCTTCATCTACACTGATTGAAGTGGATTTAACAAGTGACATCAACAAGGGATCATAGCTTTCACCTGGATTCACCAGTCTGTTTAATGGAAAGAGCAGGTGTTTCTAATGTTTTGTACCCTCAGTGTATACCCACTTTATAACTATAAAGCTAAAGCTGCATATCAAATGTTCTGTCTCTGGGGAAGCTGTGGCATTGAGAAAAACATTATTGGCCTACAACAAAACTACTGGGCCTATGCACCATGACGCTCTGTGAGAAGTGTAGGCTCTTTGGCCTGAGATGTTTAGTAGGTTTATGGATATACTGTACATTGGTGTAATGAAATGCAGTGCTCATTATTATTTAAATAATTGCATAATTCTTCTAATAGGCGAACATAGTTGCTTTACAATAGGAAACTCTGTCTTTCAATATAACATAAAGCGAGTAGTAGGAGATAATCATTATCAAGTCAGTACATACAGTATTAGGCAATGACACCTGAAGGCGATTATGCAATGAAACAGACACGTTATTGAGATATGACTGAAGATACGGCCATCTTGAAAATCAATAAAGAAATAAATCACAAAATAATTACATTTTATTATCATTACTAGTACTACCACTACTATTATTTTCAAAAGGTATTGTTTTATTATTATTGTTATTCATATTATTATTGTTATGAATAATTATAATATTAATATTATAGGCTAGTCGAGGTCATTCGAATGTAGGCCCATCTAGGCCTAATAATGCCATTACAGTATAATAAACCTTAAATTATTCCACAGTGACAATCAATTATTCGTTTTAAATTGCCAAATTATATAGACTATTTATTGTTGATTGCAAACGGTCTTCCCCCAGTCTGCCCCTGCCTGAGCCTGTCCGTCCCTGGATAGTGTGAAGATAGAGGCTGAGACTGAGCGGCGTCCTGCCACCACCGGTGGCGATTCGTTACAGGTAGGCTAACTATCGGAGAGACACACTTCATGGCATCACAGCGAAAACACCTCATTCGTCAAGTCGAATTGGAACAGACAGTAAAACCATGATTATGTATTCTCGCACCTCCTTGACAACTGCCTGCCTCGGCCCCCCAATGTCCAGCCGAGACAGTAGCGCCTGTTTACTCCATGTTCCACCATGTCTTTTTCGCTTTGCTCTCAATTATTTATCAAAATAGCCTAGGCGATAGCTGTTTGTGCGATCCCTTTTACGCACGAGGACGCGTCAAATCTATGGCGCGTTAAACATATAGTCATAGTTCTGATATCTCTTTTGCAAGTATGCAGTTGCTTACACCTCTCTACAGACAACGTTTCTAAAAATGCTACCTTGGTTTAACCTTTGCAAAGCAACGAAAAGTGAAAGGAATGCAAAGACCAAAGTAAAAGAAGAATGGCCATTGTTTGAGCCCACTTTACAAGAGGAGTCAAACAGAGGATAGATCATGTTGCAATGGCTCGTGTCTCTCCTCTGTCTCAGTGCAACGAAATGGTGACCTACAATTTACCCTGAAACGCGTATCGCCTAACAGCGTTATCCAGACAAAATGTAAATAGAAAGAAATACCAGTTGAATTCTTCCCAGGTTGACTAACGACGGGCCTATTTGTTAACCCCTGGAAGGAGTACAGAAGACTTGTAAATGAATGGTTTAACTGACACCTCGACACTTTTGATAATTTCACTGAGCCAATGTATATTCCAACTGAATGAATAATCGCCAGTTCAAAGTAAATATTCTCTGCAACAACAGATACGTGCTGAGAGTTTGTGCTTCTGAGGCTGACCCCATTTAATCACAAATTAAGGCGTCTCACTTAAATAAACTAACTGTGAATGGTCTTCCCTAACATAACGCCGAAATTGAGAATAAACAAACAAATAAACTAAATAAGGCCATTTTAAAATAGCTATACTCAGCGAGGTTTGTATTTTAGGGCCTTTTACTTTCTAATTATAATTATTTATATCATACAATGTTAGTTATTTTAAGTATGGTGCAGTTGATAGGCTATTAAATATTTCACTTTGTAAATTGAAAACGTTTTTCAATAGGATATTATTTTTAAACTCTGTATTCGATGCCAACAGTTTTGTAGATAGTTCTATAACATCTTGCATTATTACAATGTATTGCTTGCTAGAAATTGTAAACACATTCTGAAGAATGTTAGCCTAGGGAATACTTAATTTGTCTAACGTGTAGAATGATAGGCATACTATAATTTCTTAGCTTCTGATAGGTTAATAATGTTCATCACGATAGTCGTGGTTTGTACATCTAACTAATTTGTACGCAATATCCTTTGAAAACAGGCTTGATGTCAATTATGAAAAACCCCCCTTTTTGCTCTAAATAAAACGCAGTTATTATCATATTTATTTGAATATCTTAACTATTCTGTGAGTAAACCAATGTGCACTGCCAAAACAAGCTTTTCTCTGCATATTTATCTGAATAAAGGAATTTCGATTTTATTTCAACAACAAAAAGTCCATAGCCTACTGTGAAACGTCTAATTGATTGCATTTACAGTTTGTGTCATTTTAGACACGATCAAGTCTTTCAAAGGCTAGCACCCCCAACAAGTTGAAATATTTGTTCAATTGAAATCCAATCAGAGAACGCCCTCAGATTCCAACTGCAGCCTCGAGAAGCGCCTCCTCTCTAAAAACCTCGTCACGCCCGCAGTAGGCTAACGCTTTCATTCCTATCTTCCCAGAGACCAGCTACGACCCACACACTATTGGAAACTTCAACGAGCGACCGATGGCACAGATCTAGTAGGTATGTGGTGAATATTCCTTCCTCTCCTCTTTTGTCTTCTATTTTTCAGTCCAGTCTTGGTAAAACATCTGGTTTCAGTGATCGTGCTCCTGGGTGCCAGCTGCGCAGAACCTAAATCATTTGGGGTATTGGTTTGTCACCCTTACCCTGCCTCTTGGGTCTTATCTGTTATGCGTCTTATCAAGCGGTTATCGCTTTGCTCCAAAGACATATTGCATTTTGTTCCTATCTGTAACGGTGTGTGTTTTTTGTAATTATGAAGAGGCTATCTGCAGAGGGGAGGACAGGGTTTTGACACGGATGGATTCAACTCCTCTGGTCAGAGCGCGCGCTGTGGTTAAATTTCTAATGGATTAATACCTTAGGTGGTAATGCCAAAAATGTCTTATCTATTAGTCTATAACCATAATATAGTTTTCATAATGAGGATCGAGTATTGTGTGTTAAGTAACCTAGCCTTTAGCCTGTCTATCATTTTGTATTATGTTCTCAAAATATACGCGAATACGTTTCAAAATGAAACCAAGCCCCACATCAAGGGCTATGTTGGGTTTGCATTGCGTAGTTTCCCATACCGTAAGCTATGGAATTGGTATGATATTGTTATCATGGTGGATGACATGTTTCTTGCAAATTAATAGTATCGCTTGAAAGATCATTCAAATGTAACTCTTTGGACCAAATCTTTGGGAATAATATTTGAGATCGTAATAAGATTTGATCACCTCATCTCATTGATCCTTTATGATACCAGACATAGTTACTGTCGAATTTCAATTGCACGACGCCCAAGGACCTGTTTAACAATTTACAATATGATAGACCCTTTTAGCCTACTTGATCTTGATAACAACTTATTCTCTCTCATTCCCAGGGCAGACAACATCCTCACGATTTTCTAGCCCTACGGTGTATGGAAAGGGATCCTGGATGGACCTGGGCGAAAACAGCTGGTCCATGGTCAAGCAAGAAGTGTCCAGCAGCCCAGGGTCACCGGCTGAACAGAGCTACTTACACGGCGGTCAGGACAGGAGGGACAGTCACGGCCGCGCGCACGACTCGGAGGGACTCAGGTCACCGCCGCCAACCGATCAACTTGACTTAGTGGGACACCGGCGCGCCGAGGGGCCAGGCAGATCATCTCTACACTCCTATGTTCACTTCGGACACGGACACCATAACAACAACAACACTGCCCTGCCCACCACCGAGGATATCACGCTGTTCACGGATTTAGACCAGGGCAACAAACTAATCATCTCTAGTGGAGCGCACCCACACCACAAGGGGGGCCTTATAGTCGACCCCAGCGACATGTATCAAACACTAGCCATCGCGGCGGCCCACCAGAGCCAGGCGGGGTACGACTCGCCCTCTGGGGGTTATATGCACTCCAACCCCAACTCTCCAGTGTATGTACCGAGCTCCCGGGTGGGACCCATGATATCCAGCCTCCCTTATTTGCAAGCCAGCGGGTCGTCTCAGCCCAGCCATGCGGTCACCAGCCATTCAGTCTGGTCGCAGTCTACTCCGGAGAGTCCCTCCTACAGCACCGGGAGTCCTCATACCTCCAACCGTTTCCACTACCCTCCAAGCCCGCCAATGAACAACGGAGCGCCCAGGGATAACGTCTACAGTAACCCGCTGAATGTGGGCAGCCGAGACCAGTACGGCCTCCCACGGCCCCTCAGTGGATCCTACGCCAGTCCCTACTCCCCGTATGTTGGACCGCAGCTATCCCAGTTGTCCTCGCCTTGGCCGGGAGGACCGTTCGATAACACCATGCTGCACACATTGCAAAGCAGAGGTGCGCCCTTGACGATTCGAGGACCCAATGGAGGTAGGCTTTCTATTACAAAAATAATCGAAGAAATCTGCTTAATAATATGGACTTCAATTATGTGATAACTTTATTTCATACGTGCTAATATGATATCTATCGAATAGCTGTTGATTACCAACGTTTAACTCATGGTACAATAATTGAAATAACCATTTAAAAAATGTCAGTTACGAGGGCATGGGTGTAACAAGTGACGATAATTTACGATTACAAGTGTTTAGTCCTAAGGTCCCAATAAATTCAAATTCAATTGGTTTAAGGAAATTATCGCAGGTAAAATACATGTTTTATTGTAATGGTAAGACATGCTAAATAGCTTCCATTTTAGAATAGCAAGTTAATTAGGCTATAATTAGGCCTACACTCTTAGAAAAAAAAGGTTCTGGATAGAATCAAAAAGGGTTCTATACTTGCTTCATATATGGCAAACCTAAAGGTTGGTAGAACCCCAATTTTGGTTCAGTGAAGAAGAACCTCCTGGGGTTCTAATCAAATAACCCTACAAAATGATTCTATATAGACCCTTTAGGGGTGTCATAAATGAAGCAAGCAATATAACCCTTTTTGGTTCTATCCAGAACCTTTTTTCTAAGAGTGTAGGCTATATATTAGTCAAGTAGGCTATTATCAATTCATTATTATTATATTATTTGGTGCATGAATGAAAGTTTAGGCCTATCCCTGATATCGAATGTTTTATAACGACTTCTATGCCTATCATATTTTTATATTTTCATTGGTGTAACTAAAATAAATACATTGTTGATTACACCCTCTGACTGCACATATACAACTAGTATGGAAACATTTTGAGTTCCTTAAAGTAACTTAATGCATTAGACATAGATAAAATAGCTAAAGTACAGTCAAAGGTGCAGTCTCTAAAGTACAGTCAAAAGTGCCTTCTCCTTGTGTATTGAATGTATAAATGTAATATGCTATCACATATGCCTAGAATATACCTCATTTCGAAAAGAATGGTGAATAATCATTAAAACATTTTTTTTTTTAAATAACCAATATACAATAACATATTTCATGACAGGTGCTCAATTAAGCCTAAGAAAAATCTGGGCTATTTTATGCCCAAGCACCTCTCTGAAGTGTAATGTAAGTGATTGGTGTGTTGCCTATCTGTTTCCCGAAGATATTCTCGACGACCTCGGAGAGAGCAGGGAATGCGTCAACTGCGGCTCCATCTCCACGCCGCTTTGGAGACGCGATGGCACGGGCCACTTTCTCTGCAACGCTTGCGGCCTGTACAGCAAAATGAATGGACTCAGCCGGCCATTAATTAAACCACAGAAGCGGATGGTAAGCAGAACACGCTCAGGGGACTACTTAACCACTCAATTTCCTGTCTATTTATTTAAAGCAATGGCTTAAAGTTATCACCTAAGATCTCTATACTCCTTATGCTGATTTTTTGGACAAACAATTCGCTTAAACGGTAGACCATTTTATTGCACCCTCCGTTTGGCCAGCGTTCATATATTAACAAGGTCATTCTGGCTTTCATATAGGCAATTTAGACATGGTCAACAAGTGTAAAGAGGCTACGTGAGGAAATAAATTACTTTTCAGACACACATTCTCCTGGCGCCATTACGCACTTATTACCCACACTAACAAACGACTGATGCCTTTTTTCCACGAACTCCCTGACAATGAAATTCATGGTATTAAGCTGAACATAACTGTCAGTTAAATGGATGACATGAATACGACCAATATTATTGTTAGGAAATTAGTGCAGATAACAGAAATAGTCATAAGAGAGGAGAATCCATGCCCTTCATATCCAATGATGAATTAAAGTGCTTGGATCACAGCCAAAGATTCCATTAGTCAGGTAGCCTAGCCTCAGACTTCTCTCTATTTCACGTTTACAGCACGCGCTCACCTTTGCTTAATCGTAGCTTCATATCTTTATGTTCCAGGGTGTTTATCGTTGTTTGTATATTGCCTTTTTCCCAGTCATCATCCCGGCGAATCGGCCTCTCCTGCGCCAACTGTCAGACGAGCACAACCACCTTGTGGCGCAGAAACGCAGAGGGAGAACCGGTCTGCAACGCATGTGGGCTCTACACAAAACTACATGGAGTAAGACACAATCTTTACATTATGTCATAACTTACCCCTTTTTATTAACTTAATGTTCGACGACATATGCAGACAATATTGTAACTGGCACGTGCCTAATTACCGTGCGAAATTGTCCAATGAATATGGAGAGCAATATTAAACATGATCAGTTTATTCAGTGTGCCTAATAAATTATATTTATTATTAATAACGTTTATATTTAAAGAACAATTGACATGTTTTCATACATTGACAAAACGTGTAACCAAAAAACATGACAGAAAACGCCGTCCAACGATATCATGACAGACTAATGTAGTCGTTATTTTTGCAGGTACCTCGGCCGCTCGCCATGAAGAAAGAGGGAATTCAGACGAGGAAAAGAAAACCTAAAACTTTGAACAAAACCAAGGGATCCTCTGGTAAGCAATGGCTATTTTAACACCTCATGCACAGGACTCTCTCTCTCTCTCTCTCTCTGTTGTAGAATTGAAATACTTCGCTTTTATGGTTAATATATATTTTTTAATCATTTTACCACAGGAAATAGTAATTCAGTCGCCATGACTCCGACGTCGACATCTTCTTCCAACTCTGAAGACTGCTCGAAGAACAGCTCTCCAAACACGCAGGTGCCAGGGTTAATAAGATCGATCCATATTTTGATTTAGCATATTCGATTTGAAAACTAATATTCAGGTGTTATACAAACTGACTCAAGGTCGTTTACAAGTGAGATTCTACTGTTGTCCCCTGCTCGGATATGTCTTGTGTAACAAATTATGCACGGCTAAATTATTCCCACAAATTTCAGTTAGCGTCAAATATAGGTCCACGGTTTTGGTAGAATAGACCCACATTTACTTTCAAACGAAAAAATATCTAAAATATGATTTCACCGTTTTATTTATTGCTCTAATTGGTATTATTTTGAATGAATATTGTTGACAAATGTAGGAGCAGGCAGGCTAATAATACACCTTCATCTGATATCTTCGTGATAGCAATAATATTGGCCTGATAATATTGGATTCAAAAGTATTGAGTCATACAGTATGTGGGATGTAGCCTATTGTATCTGGTGTCTTCGGAGGTATTTAAAGGCTGTCTCTACTGGGTTCTGGGAAATGGTCTGCATTTTTCAGAGATGATGCTCTTCGGAATTGTGTCCTAAAACATAGTTTCTGATTTGTTCCAAATAAAACAATATTATAGGCCTACTTAAAGTACATTTTATTAAAGACATTTGTCTGTTCATATCATTTGATAAATGGGCCGGTCTGCTATAATAATGTGAAGATTCACTGCAAATACGCCTATACACTGAGTGTACAAAACATTATGAACATCTGCTCTTTCCATGACATAGACTGACCAGGTGAAAGCTGATGTCACTTGTTAAATCCAATTCAATCAGTGTAGATGAAGGGGATAAGACAGGTTAAATAATGATTTTTGAAGCCTTGAGACAATTGAGACATGAATTGTGTATGTGTGCTATTCAGAGGGTAAATGGGCAAGACAAATTATTTAAGTGCCTTTGAATGGGGTATGGTAGTAGGCGCTGGGCGCACCGGTTTGTGTCAAGAACTGCAACACTGCTGGGTTTTTCCATGGTCAACAGTTTACTGTGTGTATCAACAATGGTCCACCACCCATTGAGGCTGTTCTGAGGGCAAAACTCAATATTAGGAAGGTGTTCTTAATGTTTTGTACACTCAGTGTATATCCATCTTAGCAGTTACAAATGCAGATGTATCATTGATAGGCTTCTGGAAGCCCTGGCTGTGACTATAGAAAACCCATGGATAATAGTAGGGTCGTTCCACCGATTCAGTGCCTTTTAAGAAATGTAACTTGGTCAAAAAAAGTTTGATTTCACCTAATTGTAACATTCTGTCATAAAGAGCACATGTTCAACTTAATAAAACATACATTTTCCCATCTCAAGAGGTAATGTAAAAAAAAGACTATGGTAAGTGAATATTAAGTGCCAAATAAAGTAACAGGGTTGACGTAACATGGTTGATGATTTCATCTTAAATCAGCCATATATCACCTTGTGACAGGAGGAATGGAAGCTTGTTGTGTGAAACAAGGAGCGGCAATTGAATGCAAGCTTAAAAATTAAAATTGCTAAAACATTTCTAGCTTTTCTATCTATGGGTAAGAGGGTTGACGTGTTATGCTCGACCCGCTCAGTTTTCTACCACAAAACACCAGAACATTTCCAAAAAGAGTAAAATCAGCTCACTGGCTTTTACCCTATTGACTATTAGATATTCAATGTTTCTTATTCAAATTTTTTAAGACTAGTTTCACCATATTTTAAAACGAGTGTTCAGTTCACGTAACAGGGTTCACGTAATTTATTGAATTATACATGTGGTCTATATTTAAGGGTACTTCATGTAATATACCATGGTTTTAAAATGCAATATTGGTGCACAATTTCTAATTAAAATATCAAAGGGACACAAAAGGCACTTATTTTGTGGAAAGATACAGTCATTTGTTTTGAATCTGTGACTAACATTTCTCTGTCCTATTCCAGGTCCAGTCCTCTGTCCTGAGTGGCCCAGTGGAGGGCTCAGGCGGCTCTGCCATCGTGAAGTACCCAGGCCAGGATGGTCTCTACACAAGTGTGGGCCTCACCCAGTCTTCAGATATAGCCGGCTCCGTCAGGGGAGAGCCCTGGTGCCCCATGGCTCTTGCCTGAGTCACCGAGCTGGGGATGGAACCCACCACACTAGCCTCTCTCTCTGGATGTCCTGCTGCTGCTGCGTGATGGAAATATTTAGTGGCTCGATGGTTCTGGGTCTGTTTCCTACTTCCCAGCTAACAACAGTTGAACAGAGACAGCCTTTACCCCCCTCCACACCCATGCAAGTTTGAAATGTCCGTGGAATATTTGGGATTGATTTCCAGAATTATATGAGAAAACCTTAGTGCCTTAACACAAAGGGAAATATATGAGAGGAGGCCAGTTGATGCATTCTTGTAACTCTGCTGTTCGGATGCTTTCCGGACCGACCGGCTGTGCACTCAACATCTCTCTCTCTCTCTCTCTCTCTCTCTCTCTCTCTCTCTCTCTCTCTCTCTCTCTCTCTCTCTCTCTCTCTCTCTCTCTCTCTCTCTCTCTCTCTCTCTCTCTCTCTCTCTCTCTCATATATGGAGGTGGATAAAATGTTCTTTGTTGTCTGAAATCAAGAAACCTGTACATAATGTTTGGATTCCCCCACTCAAGACAAAAGCGGTTAATTGGATATTAATGGTTGAGAAAAGCACTATCCATGCATACAAAGGACATTTTGATCATTTTTTTTGCAACTGGAATCAAGCTATCAAGTTACCAAAACAACCTTCCTGAATCAAGAGAAAGTATTTATTAATCTTCCATTGTTGAAAATATGACTATGATTGTTAAATAAAGATATGGATATAGAGTAGAACTGAAACAAAAAACATTTCTTATGTCTTCGTTTTTTAATATACTTTTGTATTTCTTTCTCTCTTGTTGAGTTAGTAGTTGTTAACAGTGATCGTAAATCTGCACGTTTTTCCACTGATAGCTCTTACTGTATCTGACTGAAACTCTTGGTTTTAAACAGGGTATCAAAGACTGTGACATCCTATGTCGGTCAGTTTTTGTTTTTAATTATTTACTCAATTCGCAAATAATCAAATCCTACAGATTAAATTAAAATACTTTTCACTTTATGGTACTATTTTTTAAAGAAATTGGTAGAAGTGTTTTTTTTTTAGGCGTTGATAAAAAAGACAGAACGTGTTCGAAAAATCCTTGACACGTACAACAGCTAGCTAAGTACTGTTTGAACAAATGGCACCCACAATCATTTTATAGATACATATTTTTGTTACAATACAAAACTGCAAAAGAAGACTGCTGCAATATTTTCTGGCTGCAACAAAGACTACCTAACTGGTATACACTGTATACATTTACTAATGCATGCATGCATTTGATGAACATATAAAATTTGAGAAATATGAAATGAAAAGGCTAAATGACAGTGAGGTCAACATAAAATAATGTAATGTTACTATATGGACAAACAGAGGTGGAATTGATAAATTGCCCCTAATAAGTTTTTGGTTGATAAAAGTGTAATGGCTGTTCCTACAACATACTGTAGACTATGTCATAAAACAAAATTAGTCAATGAGTAAAATGTTACACATTTACAGATGGTGATGAAACTGTAGCTTCAATTGAGAATAATCTGAAAATAGTGATTTATGCCAAGAGTTATGATTCAGTGATGTGATTTTTTTTTTATGTAGCTAGAAAGCAACTTTTCACTGGTTTCAAGACATAATGACCTTATATGACAAATCACTGTTGATTTTGGTTTGACTCAACACACAACAAAAAGTGGAATACAAATGTGCCATTGTATTTTTACTCAAAAGATGTCAAAAGTTCTACAGTACATTTTCCTGACTTTCAACTTTTGAAGTAGAAATATGACTTTCCCATGCAATACACAGATCATACTGTATGTCTCCCTCTCCTCCAGTAGGGGTGTGAATGGCGCCTTGCTCAGCAGAACTCTCAGTGGATTCATTTTAGGGCCAGACAAATTCCCCTAGCTCTCTGGGGAATGTCAATTTCAGTGGAATGAATCTGAAGGTCATTGTGAAACTGCCGATTAAAGTGCATTTCAATTTCACCATCAGGATCTTTCAGCTGAAACAGGGCCTGGTAATAGTTTTTTTCTGGACTTATTTATTTTTTGAAATATCATGTTTATTAATAACATTGTTTTTCCAATTTTTGTTTGGATATTTGTATTTCTTTTGTTGGTTGTTTTATTCTTGATACAGTTTTAAATGATATTATTTAAATATTTGAAATAAATTGTTCTGATGATATGTGCATTTTGGAATAATTGCCCGTCTTAGAATATTTTAAGGAAATCTACACATTGTGGTTGGTGTGTCATTGTATCACAGTGTTTTTGTGGTATGTGCCAGAGTTTGCAGCAAGATTTTTAGCTCCATCTAGACATTTGCTTTGAAGGTACATATAACCATTTAGAAATTGTGACCCCTTATATTTGAGTTATATTTAGACATTTGTGTGTTATATTGGCATTTTCAAAAATTGGCAGTGGTATTCCTCACTTCAATTCTTTCACCTCATGATTCAGGGAGGTTTGATAAAAGCTAGTAGCCTATCGGTATTCAGTAATATACATTTCCACTATATTACTTCACGCTGGAATAATAAACCAAACGTTATCAAAATGTTTATTAAAACTGTCTTTTACAGTTTGTACATTTTTAAGATGAGACCTTCAAGAGAAATATGTTATGAGAAGCTGTTGGAAAGACAGCAGCAATGGATCCCTGAGGGTTTTGAATCTTCAGACAGTGTTTGTCTAGTTGTTTTCTCATTCTGTATTAAAGTTAGCCTTTCCTCTTACACACAACAATTTATTATGACTTTTTCTTTATACCATGATATGCACTCTAAACAATGGTTTTATCAGTGTTTTCGATGTGTATTAAATCAAGTGTGTTGTGCCTGTCAAAGTGTGAAGTATATTTAAGTGAACATAGCCTGTAAATTATACCATAGGTAGACACAGACATTTTAGAGATGGCTAGATTTATGCCTGCGTTTTAGGTTATCTGGCTGCAATTTGACATATTGATGTTGGAGAGTTTATTGAGTGTCAGTGTAGCTACAGTTGAAGTCAGAAGTTTACATACACCTTAGCCAAATACATTTAAACTCAGTTTTTCACAATTCCTGACATTTATTCCTAGTAAAAATCCCCTGTTTCAGGTCAGTTAGGATTCCTCCTGACAGAGGTCATGTAACTGAGTCAGGTTTGTAGGCCACCTTGCTCGCACACACATTTTCAGTTCTGCCCACAAATGTTCTATAGGATTGAGGTCAGGGCTTTGTGATGGCCACTCCAATACCTTGAATTTGTTGTCCTTAAGCCATTTTGCCACAACTTTGGAAGTATGCTTGGGGTCATTGTCCATTTGGAAGACCCATTTGCGACCAAGCTTTAACTTCCTGACTGATGTCTTGATGTTGCTTTAATGTATCCACATAATTGTCCTTCCTCATGATGCCATCTATTTTGTGAAGTGCACCAGGCCCTCCTGCAGCAAAGCACCCCCACAGCATGATGCTGCCACCCCCGTGCTTCACGGTTGGGATGGTGTTCTTCGGCTTGCAAGCGTTCCCTTTTTCCTCCAAACATAACAATGGTCATTATGGCCAAACAGTTCAATTTTTGTTTCATCAGACCAGAGGACATTTCTCCAAAAAGTACGATCTTTGTCCCCATGTGCAGTTTCAAACCGTAGTCTGTCTTTTTTATGGCGGTTTTGGAGCAGTGGCTTCTTCCTTGCTGAGCGGCCTTTCAGGTTATGTTGATATAGGACTCGTTTCACTGTGATATAGATACTTTTGTACCTGTTTCCGCCAGCATCTTCACAAGGTCCTTTGCTGTTGTTCTGGGATTGATTTGCACTTTTCGCACCAAAGTACATTACTCTCTAGGAGACAGAACGCGTCTCCTTCCTGAGCGGTATGACGGCTGCATGGTCCCATGGTGTTTATACTTGCGTACTATTGTTTGTACAGATGAACGTGGTACCTTCAGGCGTTTGCTCCCAAGGATGAACCAGACTAGTGGAGGTCTACAATTATTTTTCTGAGGTCTTGGCTGATTTCTTTTTATTTTCCCATGATATCAAGCAAAGAGGCACTGAGTTTGAAGGTAGGCCTTGAAATACATCCACAAGTACACCTCCAATTGACTCAAATTATGTCAATTAGCCTATCAGAAGCTTCTAAATCCATTAAATCATTTTCTGGAATTTCCCAAGATGTTTAAAGGCACAGTCAACTTAGTGTATGTAAACTTCTGACCCACTGGAATTGTGAGACAGTGAATTATAAGTGAAATAATCTGTCTGTAAACAATTGTTGGAAAAATTACTTGTGTCATGCACAAAGTAGATGTTCTAACCGACTTGCCAAAACTATAGTTTGTTAACAAGAAATTTGTGGAGTGGTTGAAAAACGAGTTTTAATGACTCCAACCTAAGTGTATGTAAACTTCCGACTTGAACTGTATGTTCAAGACTGCACTGCACATCAGCCAGATACATAATTTAGAGATAGAAGTTATTAAATTTTTATTTCACTTTTATTATAATAAAATGGCAATTGTTTTGTACTACCTGTCCCCTTGCATGATACTAGTTTTGAGTGTAGAAAAACGTTATTATAATCCATTATTTTGAAAATGTCACCAGATCAATATCTTTAACATCTTTATTTTTCTCAATTTTATTGTACTCTCTAGCACATGCCCAAGGAGTTGGCAAGTGTCTGCAGGCTTCATTTTCCCCCAGTCTTTGTCTGAGGTGTTGCAGTTATGCATTATCCATATTAAAGGTCCAATGCAGCCGAATGCATCTCAATATCAAATCATTTCTGGGTAACAATTAAGTACCCTACTATGATTGTTTTTAATTAAAACAAGAAACAGAAATAGCTTCTTAGCAAAGAGCAATTCCTCAAGGAAATGTTTTACTAGGACTGTCTGGTGGTAGTCTGAGTGGGAATAATCTTACCTATTAGTTTATTAACTAATAGGCAGGCCAAAACTCCATCTGACCAAAACAGGCTGACATTTCAGCCGTTTTTTTCAAACAGCTCTTCCA